TTAAATTACGTACATAACCCAAACTTGGTCCAATTTAGTAAGAGCCCGATCGTGATCTACGTAAATCGAGGCCCTAATTTATATCCCTCACGTGTCTAAATTCTTGACGAACAATATATGTAAATTCCTTTAAGCTTACTATTGGAGCTAAATTGGCCCGTAAATTATTATCACTCTCCCAAACAATAGTAACACTATTGTTGTATTTGTTAAGAGAATTTACGTATTTTGTGCATGTAACGGTCAGGATGAAATTCGAATTTGGGGTGATTCAGAATTAAGGATCAGGTTTCTGATTTCGAATTAAATTAGTGATTTATTTATTTTGATTTGTAAGCTTACTTATATAATAACTTTTATGATCGTGAATTTTTTTTGAGGCTTGTTTAAAAATTTTTTTTGGGAGTCATATTAAATATTAATAATAATTATAACGATAATATGTAGTTCTTTATTAATTTATTACGATCATATGATAATCAAAACTCCTATTTCTTTTTCTGAGATACACCGAATACGTAGAGTATAATGAAATGTGAAACAGAAGTTTTTATCCAAGATTAGTAAGCAGCACATTCTAAATAATAAAGACATATTGATTTGCCTTTACCATATCTGTTGTTCAAAGTAAATAAACAAGCGATTGATCGTTAGACCATTTCTGACTTAATTTTCGATATTTTCGGTGCTAAGCTGTTAGTATCGCTTAACCCCGGGATATTTAGTTAGATAGATAATTGTAAACCCAAAACGAGAGGCTGATAACGTAATTGCCCATAATAAAATGATTCATGGAAGTGTTGCGTAAAATTTTTCAAATTATTCATACCTTTGTACTACGTTTGGGTATGATTACGTGACTGATGGATCGGTGCTTTTTATTTAGTAGATCAATAAACTTTCATGCAAGCAGTTTGTAATCATACATTACTGCAAGTTTTATATAATCTACGCATTCTGCATGATACTCTTTTGAATGATTAATGATGAATGATGAGATGTGAAAAAATGATTTGGGAGATACATTCAAACATAACGTTTATAAGTGGCTTGACGAAGAATGTTCAAATGAAGATATTAATTTGAGTCAATATATTGCACAAAACGAACTATTATTCCTAAGTAATAACGTACGTACGTAGTATAAATAAGAGAAAAACCAAAATATACGAAATAAAGAAAATAAAACATACCTTCGTTCTTTCAAATAACATTTATATAGGTGAGTGGAAAGGTTACTCTAAAAGTATTATATTTTCATTAACTTTTTTATATTCGGTCTAATTATTAATTCTTTTTCGTATCATCAGTCAAATTCTATAAATCGATCAAAGAATCTTAAGGTATTGATTATATGATGGGTCATTCTCGGAAGGACCAAAAAAAAATTTAAATTCGGTCCGAACATTGAAGAGTGTTTGATTTTTTTTTATTTGTTAACATTGTGCACTCAAATTATTCTTTTTTTTTTTACATTATTATCATATTCAAAAAGCGAAAAACATAACAATATGCCTACCTACAATAACAGCACCATAATAAAGAACGACCCTGAATTAGCCAAAAAAGTTGATGTTTTAGAAAACAAAATCCAAGACTTACAAACTGAAATCAAAAACTTAAAAAAAACCAAAGCTAAGGTTATTTTGAGTGGCATTGCTATAGCATTGGTAGGATTAGCAGTATGGTTCACGTCACCTATATTCCTCAAAAAATATAGATCATTCCAGAATTTTTATCTGATTTGGTCAAATGCCTTGCTTATAAAATATAGATCATTCCGAAATTCTTATCTTATTTGGTCACATGTCTTACTCATAATTGGCCAAAAATTCATTAGATCCTTGAAAAAATATTTATTCATTCTTTTTACTATGTCACCTAAGACATTTTTAGATTTATTCCGAAATTTGTTTAATACTTTACAAATTAAGAATGAAAATAAGCCATAAAAGCAGTATCTATCGAATTTATTATTTTTATCACTTAAGAATTTATATGAATTTTCTATGACTTTAAGTGACGTGACCATACTGATATATATGATAAATTAAGGGAGCACACTTGATTTTTGTATTTCCACTAGAGGTGCAGGCGGAACTTGAAGCATTGGGATTTTCCGTAACGTAACTAAGTTATAACTAGTTATAACTTTTTG